GGGTGTAGAGGGCAATTCTGGGGATTTTAGGGTACATAAGATTTTGGAGGGTTGGTCCAGAGAAGGTATTAGAGCTAAGGATCCAGGCAAGCTGTTGTCACCCAATATGTTGAGAGGTCTCAGCTTAATTTAGCCAGCCATTGTACATCTCCTTATGAGACTAAGCTTTTCATGCAGCTGCACTGGTGGCCTTTTTTGGAGTGCTGAGAATAAGCGAGTTGATAGTCACTTCAGGGGGATTCATCCAAAAAGGCCCTTTTATTGCAGGATGTAACAGTGTCAACACATTCAGTCCTGCTTTTTCTCTGCTCCTCCAAAACAGATCAGCTGGGGATGGATTACGAACTGCAGTTGCTATCTTGCAATGATAAATCTCTTTGTACAGTTAGGACTCTATACCAATTTTTAACAGTGAGAAGGAACTTTGTTTTGTCAAAGCAGGATGTAAACAAAATAAAATAAATATATTGGACTAAATCTGTGATGGCGAATCCATGGCATGTGTGCCAGAGATGGTATGTGAAGCCATTTCCCCTGGCACACAGAAGATGGAGAGGAGGAGGAAAAGGCATGTGCCTGTTCCTCCTCCTTCCTGGCCATCCCAGGCCTTCCGCTACCTCTCTCTGGAGGCAGCTGGAGGCTGGGGACAGCATGGGGGAGAAGGAGGAACAAGCTCATGCCTGTTCCTCTTCTTCTGCCCTTGCCCCCTCAGGCTTCAGCTGTCTCTGGAGAGGCAGCTGAAGGTCCAGGAGGGTGGGGGGAAGACATCCTGCCCTGGAAATCCCACCCCCAGAGGGTGGAAGTCCCACCCTCAGCACTGGGTAACACTTGGTGCTGGAAGGCCTTTTAGGGCCTTTACAGATTGCCAGAAGTAATCCCGCTTGAGACCACTTTAGCTATCCTGGCTTAGTGCTGGGAGCTGTAGTTTATTGTGGCACCAGAGTTCTCTTACAGAGAAGGCTCAATGTCTCAGAAAAAACTACAATTCCCATGATTCCCTAGTATTGAGCCAGGGCAGTTTGGGCACTCAGCCCCTAAAAGGTTCACCATCACTGTACTAGATAAATGAATACTACAGCAATACATCATTTCTAGGGGAAATCCACTTCCCTTCTAGTTATTATGAGGACTGAAGTTAAACTTGAGAAACCAGGGGAGTCCAAAGGGGATGGGAGAAGCTGTAGTCCATGCTTGTACAAAAATCTCAGGGCTTTGAACCATGTAAGCCCTGACTCCACTCTATCACTGACTGTATCACAGGTTTGACAAAGGCTCCAACTAACCTCCATTTCCTTCTCTAATCAGATATCTTTTCTTCCTTTTCAAGTGAACAGAAAGAAAAGGTGAAAGTAAGAAAGGGCTGTTACTTCCCTTTCCATTCCATCCTCTGAAGGATGGCTTTGCCATCAGGTAGTGTGAGGTAGCACATTTTGTTTTATGAGAAATCAAAGCAGATAGGATGTTATCACACGGGGGCAAATCTGCTGGTTAATCCACACAAAATCCAGACAGCAACTGGATTAGTGCCCCATGTTTTCACACGACATCACACAGAAACTGGACAGAAAGTGGACAGAAACTGGTGTTAACCGAGATCTTTTGAAATTCGGTTGTTTGGAGGAAATGCAAATGTGCAATTAAGGTAAATTCGCAATTAAGGTAAATTCGCTGTAATGTAGAATGCAAATGCGCATTTGGAAGCATTTCCCGACTCTATGCAGGTCCGGAGCTCCAAGGAGGTTCTCCTTGGAGCGCCGGCCCT